CCACCAGGAAAGGATAGACTACCTAGGCTATCGCATATCCCCACAGGGCATTGAAATGGACCCGGAGAAGGTCAAAGCAGTACTAGATTGGGCACCACCCCGCACAAGAAAGCAACTACAAAGCTTCCTGGGCTTTGCAAATTTTTACCGCCAATTCATCCCCTCATTTGCACAGATAGCTTTGCCCCTCACTAACTTACTAAAAACGAAGGGAACATCCTCAGTAAAACCTAGCCAGCCACTAACATGGACAATGGAGTGCCAAGCAGCGTTTGAGAGACTAAAGAGACTTTTTTCTGCCGAACCAGTACTAAGGCACCCAGACATGGACAAGCCCTTCATAATACAGGCAGATGCAAGTGATGTGGCAGTGGGGGCTGTGCTATTACAAGAAAATGATGATGCAGTATTGCAACCCTGTGCATATACATCCAAGAAACTCACGGAAACAGAACAGCGCTGGCCCGTATGGGAGAAGGAGGCTTATGGGATACGTTGGGCATTACTCACATGGCGACAGTTCCTGGAAGGCAACAAAATCCCCTTCCAGGTGTGGACTGATCACAAAAATTTAGAAGCCCTGAAAACTTCCAGGAAACTCAATCCCAAACAAGCCCGCTGGTCCCAGCATTTTCACCAATTCCAATTTAAGCTCAAACATTTACCAGGAAGAAAGAACTTCCTGGCAGATGCACTATCTCGCATGCCCCAATATAACAGCGCACGAACCACAGACTCTAGACCAATAATGGCAGAGTCACAACTGGCAGCACCAGTAACCACAAGAACCCAAGCCAAATTAAAACCACAACTGGACAGCCAAACTGGAATTGAATTCAGAAAAAGTTTGGAAACAGATGATTGGTTCCAGAAAAACAAAAATGTGTGCACAATGAGAGACGGGTTGCCTTGGATAGGGGAAAAGTTATATATACCAACAACTCAAAGAGTAATTTTCATGCACCTTTGCCATGACACAAAATCAGCAGGGCATTTTGGATTTGTAAAAACTTTACATTTAATTAAACGGCAATTTTGGTGGCCATCCATGAAAAAGGACATTGAAAGTTATATAGCCAGTTGTCCAAAATGTGCCACGGCAAAGAGGTTGCAAGGGAAAGTGCCAGGACTATTGCAAACAGTGGCAAGTCCCTCAGCCCCCTGGAGAGAAATAGCCATGGATTTTATAGTGGAATTGCCAGAAAGCAATGGGAATACTGTGGTCTGGACGGTCACGGACTTGTTTTCCAAACAGGTGCACTTTATCCCTTGCCAAAAGATTCCCACTGCAAAAGCCTTAGCAAAACTTTTCATCCAACACATTTACAGATTGCATGGGGCACCCCAACGCATCATCTCTGACAGGGGGGTGCAATTTACGTCTGCATTTTGGAAGGAATTTTTATCCCTCTTAGGAACCACTCAGGGACTGACATCTAGCCACCACCCTCAAGGAAATGGGGGGGCTGAAAAAATGAACTCAGTACTTAAGCAATATTTAAGATGTTTTCTTAGTTTCCAGCAGACCGAGTGGGCGGACTTACTCCCTTTTGCAGAAGTTGCCTACAATAATGCAGTCCACTCCAGCACAGGTTACACTCCTTTTCAAATAGCCACCGGTCAAAGTTTCAACCCCATGCCAGAATTAACCCCAAACGAACCAACGATCCCCTCGCTGAAAGAATGGATGGAAAAATTACAAAACACCTGGCCAATAGTCAGAAAAGCACTAGATGAAGCTAGGCAGGCTTACAAAACACAAGCCGATAAAAAAAGGGTTGAGCCTACACCATTCATTATAGGAGAGATGGTGTACTTATCTACAAAATACCTAAAGTCCCTACAGCCCTGTAAAAAACTTGGACCAAAATACATAGGACCTTTTCCAATTAAAAGAATCATAAATCCAGTAACAGTAGAATTAGAATTACCCAAAAATCTCAGGCAAATACACCCAATTTTTCATTGCAGCTTGCTGAAAAGAGAGCATCAGTCATTGTTACGGCCAAAAATCCCCTCCAACCTCCAATCATGGTGGAGGGTGAACAACACTTCGAAATAAAGGAAGTCCTTGACTCTAGGAGATATCATGGAGCAACTCAGTACCTAGTTGCCTGGAAACACCTCCCTCCCTCACAAAATGAGTGGGTCCATAAACGTCATGTCAGAGCCCCGAAGCTATTGAAGAAGTTTCACACAGAGTATCCTAACAAGCCTGACTAAATTTTATACTTGTGTTTTCTTTCAGGTGGATCTCTCTTATTTTTAAGAGGGGCCGGATGTCAGAATCCAATCATATTTCATCTTTAATTATCAAATATAGAAACTCCCAATTCTGCCTTCTTTGGATTCTGCCATAAGAGGGAGAGAAGGGGGAGAACAAAAGGGCTTTATGGCCCTCACTTCCTTCAGTAGACTTCAAAGAGCTGAATGCTGAATGTGTGTTTATTGTAACCTATTGTAACCTCAAAGCGTTAACACCAGAGAACATTAGCATTAACAAAGAAGAGTATTTGCCTTTCATGTAGTTATCTGAAGTCTCCATCCAGACGGAAGAAAGAAGAAACGGGGTGGAATTGTGATACTTGAAACTATCACTGGGAAGGGGGGTTGATTGGGTGGGACTACTGGGGAACCCCTTAAAACCTTGAATGGGAGAGCTTGGACCCCAAGTCCTGTCTAGCATGCCTGCAACCATTTTCTCTTAATAAAGGATTCCTGTTGGAAGAACTATTCCAAGAGTTCTGTCTTCTTAAGATGCAAAGTGGGGTGGGTCCTTACAGTGAGTTCCATTGTATCTCATACAACAGAATTGAAATGGACCCTCAGAAGGTCCAGGCAGTGCTAGACTGGGCTCTGCCCAGAACCAGGAAGCAATTACAAAGTTTCCTGGGCTTTGAAAATTTCTACCGATAGTTTATCCCATCTTTTGCTCAAATTCCTTTCCCCATCACTAACCTTTTAAAGACAAAAGGGAAAGACAAAACCAAGTGCAGCCAACCTCTAAAATGGACTATGGAAGGTCAGGAAGTATTCAAAGATTTAAATGGTTGTTCACAGCAGAACCTGAAGCACCCTGACCCAAATGCCCCGTTTGTCATCCAGGCTGATGCTAGTTATTGTAGCAGTGGGAACCTTATTATTGCAGTGAAATGAACATGGCCAGTTGCAAGCTTGTGCCTATACTTCCAAGAAGCTGTCAGAAACTGAGCAGAGATGGATGGTTTGAGAAAAGAAGGCTTATGTGGTATACTGGAAGCTCTTAACTTGGAGGCATCTTTGAAGGTAGTAAGGTGCTTTTTGAGGTATGGACTGACCATAAGAACTTAGAGGCATTAAAAACCCCACATAGGCTATCACCTAAGCAATTCCAGTGGATGCAGTACTTTAATTGTTTTGACTTTACATTACTTCCTGGGTGGGGAGGAGAATTTCCTAGCAGATGCCCTATTATGAATGCCTCAATATAACTGTACCATATATGATGTAATCAAGCCATTAATCCCATCATGCCAGCTGGCCACACCAATGATAACCTGAGACCAAGCATGAGAGAAGCTGCTGATAGAGAACAATGTGACTGTGGCTCTTAAAACTGCGCTACAGGATGACAAGCGGTTTCAAAATCACAAGAATGAATGTTCTTTCCAGGATGGTCTAGTTTGGGAGAAGGTTAAGTTACATGTGCCAGAAAGCCAACGGTTAATAGTTCTGGATAAAAGTTATGACTCTAGGACTGCTGAGCACTTTGATTTTGTAAAGACATTGTATTTAGTCAAAATACAGTTTTGGTGGCTGTCTTTAAAGAAGGATGCTGAAAGCTTTATGGTGAGTTGCCCATTTGCTCCTCAGCGAAATGGCAGCAAGGAAACTCCCCAGGACTCCTTCCAATGGTGACTGAGAGAGATCTCCATTGATTGTATAGTAGAACTCCCTGAGAGTTTAGGAAATACCATTATATGGGTAATAACTGACTTGTTTTCCAAGCAGGTATATTTTGTCCCATGCCAGAAAATCCCTTCAGCATGTGCACTAGCCAAACTATTTATGCAACATGTTTATAGGTTGCACTGAGCCTGGCAACATATTATTTCCTGTAGGGTCATACAATTCACCTCCAAGTTCTGGCAAGCATTTTTTAATCTCCTTGGGACTGATCAGATGCTTAGTTCCAGTTACCACCCCCAAACAAATGGGATATGTGAATGCACAAACTCAGTGTTGGAACAGTACCTTAGATGCTACATCAACTACCAGCAAGATAACTGGACAGACCTGTTACCTTTTGCAGAAGTGGTTTACAATAACTCGGTTCATAGTAGCACCCTTTTTAAAGTGGCAAGAAGACAGGACTTTCCCTCCAGGCCCAAGTTACCACTGAGTGATCCCTCTGTACCTTTCTTAAAGGAATGGGTTTCCCAACTACAAAATACTTGGCCAGTGGTGAGAAAGTCCCTTGCAGATGCACAAGATGCATATAAAAAGCAAGCTGATAAGAAGTGAATGGAATTAAAGCCTTTAAAATTGGCCATCGAGTCTGTTTGTCTACCCAATACCTACAATCTAGACAACCATAAAAAAAATTATGACCCAAATATGTGGGTCTCTTTCCCATCCAAAGCATCATTAACCCAGTCACCATAATACTAGATTTGCCCAAGTCTCTTTAGCAAATGTACCCAATGTTCCACTGTATTTTGCTAAAGACCAAAATCATCTCCTCTCAGACCTGAACTGCCACCACCACCTGAACCATTGATGATAGAGGGGGAACAGATTTTGAGATCAGCAACATTTTAGACTCCATAAACACTGAGGGAACTTTCAACATTTAGTAGCTTGGAAAGACTTTCCCAAATCCCAAATTGAGTGGGTTGATCACCACCATGTTAGGGCTGTTAGGCTTCTTAAGCACTTTCATAACCAGTATCCTGATAAACCTAGATGAGTCCTTTGTTTCTAACCCTCTTCCCCCCCCTTTATTCTGTTTTGTTTTACAGGACTGACATCGTGTTTGGGGGGGCAGAATGTCAAGCCCACCAACATGTCCTGCCATTGTGCTGGAGAGGTTAGCATTTTTGGGATGCTTTCACTTTTGTTCAATGCTTGAGAATTAGGAAGGGGGACTGCCTTCAGAGACAGGGCAGACTCCTTCTCAGCTGGTTCCTGCTTGCTACCAAGGCTGTTGTGCTCTGAGAATGACCTGTTATTTGCCTAGTACCGCAGTGTTCTCAAAACATCTTCCTGGCATCACATTGACTACTGGAGTACTGGTCAGGAGGGTTGGGATTGCTTTATGCTTTGCACAGGCCCGTCAGATTCCACCTGGCTTTACTGCAGTTTCAACTCAGTGAAGTCTTGCTTTCCTGAGGGGATGGTTACAGTTCCAATGATTCCACTTGGCTAAATTAAAGTTCATTTTTAATTGAACTTTAGTCAGATTAGAGCTGGAAGGGACCTTGGAGGTCTTCTAGTCCACCCCCCTCATCAAGCAGGAGACCCTACACCATTTCAGGCAAGTGGCTATCCGGTCTCTTCTTAAAAGCCTCCAGTAATGAAGCACCACAGCCTCTGAAGGCAAGTTGTTCCACTGATTAATTGTCCTCACTGTTAGGAAGTTTCTCCTTAATTCCAGGTTGCTTCTCTCCTTGATTAGTTTCTATCCATTGTTCTTGTCCTGCCTTCTGGTGCTTTGGAAAATAAGTTGACCCTCTTTTCTTTGTGGCAGCCCCTCAAACACTATCATGTCCTCTCTAGTCCTTCTTTTCTCTAAACTAGCCATACCCAATTCCTTCAACCATTCTTCATATGTTTTAGTCTCCAGGCCTTTAACTTTCCTAGTTGTTGTTCTCTGAACTTTTTCCAAAGTCTCAACATCTTTTTGTAATGTGGTGACCAAAACTGGATGCAGTGTTCCAGGTATGGTCTTACTAAGATTTTATAAAGCTTTTTTGGCTGCTGCCACATACTGCTGGCTCATACTGTATTTAAAAGATCATCCACTAGAGCTCCGAGGTTCTTTCACAGTTTTGGAGCCAGTTTTCACCTAAACTATACTTGTGCCTTTGGTTTCCATGCCTAAATGTAAAACCTTCTTTTCTCCACATTAAATTTCATTCTGTTGGATACTGTTCAAATCTGTCAAGATCCATTTGGATTCTGAGCCTGGGATGTTGGCTATTCTTGCCAACTTAGTGTCATCTGCAAATTTGATGAATTCCCCTTCTATTCCCTCATCTAAGTCATTTAGGAAGATATTGAAGAGTACTGGGTCTAAAATGGAATCTTGCAATCTCCCACTGCTTACTTCCCTCCATGTAGATGTAGTACCATAAAGGATTACTCACTGAGTGTGCTTTGTCAGGCAGATCACAGAAGCCCAGATCACAAGCTAGAACCTGCTTTGGTTTGTGATCTGGGCTTCAGCAAATCCAATCTATAGTCTAATTTAAACATTTTTAAGGTGGCAATTCTCCCCATCTGAAAATAATAAAGAAGTCCAGTGAGAATTTGGATTTTTTGCATGTTTAAACCTTATTTTTCTCTGCGCAGCTAAAACAAGGGAAACAAGTGGAAATGACACACACATATATAAATTTGTTCAGTTGACAGAATCTACATTATTGTTTTTATATTGTCCAAGTTTATTAAATATGTTTTTCTCAGCACCTTAGTATTTTATAGTCCAAATTACATATTCATTTCCCATTTTATTAAGTTACCGGACTGCAAATTTCTCTCCAGGATATGTTTACTTTTCCATTTCTTTTATTTGTTTTTCCATTGATTTTGTAATGTATTAAGTTAAACTTATGAAGCAGATGGCTGAGATCTGTGCAGGAATGGTTAGCAGACTACATGGCCTGCTAGCCAGACTTGCTCTCTACAAGAATGTTATTATGTATTTGAGCGGGAGAATACTGTGCTGTCATTGGCTGACACCACCCAGAGCTGAATGTATAAATAGGGGCGGAGCAATGCTTGTTAATTTCTGTTTTGACTTCAATAAAGAAGTACTTGTTTCTATTGCTGCCTCTTCAATGCTGAACCAAGCAAAAAACAGAATATTGGCGATGAAGGTGGGATCGTGCTGCTGCAATTCAAAGAGCTGAGTCACTACAGGGGTCAAGCCTAGCAAGTGCTTGGTTGGAATGGCGTTCCACCCCCCTCACTCTATCCTGCCAGTACAGAAACACTGGAGGAAAGTGCTTCCACGGTTTCGCCCTGGAAGTCCCATGGAAACCTGCACAGGATGAGGCATTGAAAATGCTGCAAAAGACTCATCATGGCAAAGATCAGAAAACTCTCCGAATTCGACGTCGCTCATCCAGAGAGGTGGCGCTCCTATATCGTGAGAGTTGAAAATTACCTACGGGTAAACCAGATTCGAGATGACGGATTGAAGGCCGCGATGCTCTTGTGTGTTTATGGTCAAGCCACTTTTGATATCACAGAGAACTTAGTTGCATCAGCACTGCTCGAGTCCATCGGGTATGCAGAACTCAAGAAGATGCTCAGAGAACATTTTGAGCCCAAGCTTTTGGTCATTGCTTGGTGGCACGCTTTTGAACAGCAAGACCAGCATCCTGGCGAGTTTGCCACCGACTTCATAACCACCTTTTGCCAAGCTGCATGGCCATGCAAATTCAAAGAACTTGAAGAAAGGCTGTGGGACTGCTTAGTTTGTGGCCTAAGGAGCCGAGAACTGCAACAGAAGATCTTTGCTAAAAAGACTATTTCATTTCAAGACGCATTGAGGGAGATAACGACTGAAGAAGCAGCCAGCGGAGCTATTAAGACCTTGTGGCTCTCCAAGAACTCTCCTTGCATGGAGGCTGTCCACCATGAGGACATCAAGAGAGTTGAAGACTCTGACTCGGACCACGAAGTCGATTGGTTGCAGCAACCCCTGGAAAGAAGGCCTCAACAGCAACCTGACAAGGCAGTTTCCTTCTCTCAGTGCATCAGGTGTTGAGGCCGACACAAACAGGCTGATTGTCGGTTCCGCACAGCCACTTGCCGGGCGTGTGGCAAGCAAGGCCACATCACCAGTGTTTGTTTGGGTTGCAGGAAAGAACATTCATCAAAAGAGTTGCCTCGGAAAGGTACCGGGTTCCCCAGTCAAAACTGGGTGGGTTTTTGTGTGGGTAGAAGGAGCGTGTTTAGGACAAGCACCTATCGCCCACTCAAAGGGAAGTTACACCTCAAAGTCAAGTTGCAAGGGGTTCCTTCTGACATGGAGTTGGACATGGGTACAGCTCTATCAATCATTTCCCAAAGGACACTTGGGAAAGCAGATTTGCAGTTGAAGCGGCAAATGAGTTAAGCTCAGGCCATCGAACCTCGTCTTAGCCAACTTCCAAAATTCCCAGGTAAACAGAAAGGGGGAGGCAACACTCGGAGTGCAGTTCAGGAATTTCAAGGGTCCCTTGGAAGTCATAGTTGTTGAGGGCAACCGCATGAGCCTAATTGGACTTGATTGGTTTGATGCTTTGGGAATTCAGTGACTGGGTTAAATAGCTTGCAAAGGTCGAGCCTCTCGGCAGTGTGTAAAAAGTTTGCTGATGTCTTCAGCTAGAGTTAGGAGCATACAAAGGGCCTCCAATTGCACTATGGTTAGATCCCTCAATAGCACCAATAAGGATTAAGCCTCGTCGGGTACCTTTTGCCCTAAAGCAGAGGATCAATGCAGAGCTGGACAAGCTGTTGCAACAAGGCATTTTAGAGCCGGTGGATAGCAGTCCATGAGAAATTCCCATTGTCATGCCACTTAAGGCCAATGGAGAAGTCCGCATTTGTGCCGAGTATAAATGCACATTAAACAAAGCTGTCCAACAGCACTCCTATCCATTGCCTGTAGTCAGCCATATTTTGGCATCTCTACAGGGAGGTCACATTTTCGCCAAGTTAGATTTGGCCCAGGCCTATCAGCAGCTGCCGGTGGACGATGCTGCGGCTGAGGCCCAAATCATTGTAACCCACCGGGGAGCCTTCAAGGTGCAAAGGTTACAGTTCAGGGTTAATGTAGCCCCTGGCATTTTTCAGAGAGTGATGGAGCGCATGGTCCACATTCTGGTTGTACGCCCATATTTCGATGATGTCCTCATAGCTGGGAATCAGTCAAAAACCTCACTGACAGGCTCCAGGCCATCTTGTGGCATTTCTGCAAAGCGGACCTGAAGCTCAAACAGGAGAAATGCAAAATTGGAGTAACCTCCACAGAATTCCTGGGGTTTTGTATAGATGCTGAAGGCATTCATCCTGCAATTCAGCAGGCACCCAAGTCGAAGGGAGCAATTCAGGACTTCCTGGGACTCCTCAACTTCTATCATGCTTTCCTCCCCCACAAGGCTGCAGTGGCAGAGCTGTTACACCGGCTCTTGGACAACAGACCCCATGGAAGTGGACAAGTGTCCACAAGAGGGGTTTTGCTGCAGTTAAAGCATTATTGTCATCAAATGCGGTGTTAGCTCATTTCAATGAGCAGTTGCCAGTCTGCATCATGTGCGATTTATCCCCTTACGGGATCGGAGCTATGTTAAGCCATTTTAGGGCTGATGGGACACAAGTCCCTATAGCTTATTACTCCAGGACTCTTTCAGCAGCGGAACAGAATTACATGCAAATAGAAAGGGAGGCATGGGTCATTGTGACTGGCATAAAAAAGTTTCATGATTTTTTTGTATGGCCGCCACTTCACGGTCTTCACTGACCATAAGCCACTTCTGGGATTGTTCACTACGAACAAGCAGACACCCCAAATTATCTCTCCTAGAATGTTGAGGTGGTCAATATTCTTATCTGCTTATGATTATTGTCTGGTTCATAAACCAGGTAAAGAAATAGGCCACACAGACGGCCTTAGTAGGTTGCCTCTATGGCTGTTAAAATCAGATCCTGCTCCAGCCAACCACATCCTGTCTATCCAGGATTTGCCGAAGTCTCCCCTTAACGCAGGGGATGTAGCTGCTGAAACAGCTTCAGACAGCATGTTGAGCCGCCTGTTAAACTGGTTGCTCACAGGATGGCCGGAAACGTGTCCTAGCCTTGACTTTCAGAGTGTCTGGA